ACCCCAAACCCTTAAGGGAGGCCTTGTATTTATAGAAAAACACCTTCTCACATCAGAAATATCTGTAATGAGACAGCTGGTGCAAGGCATGGTTATGACGACAACTGGCTATCTTAAAATATCTACTGTCGCTGAACATGGCCTGCCAGCTAATATTTTGTACGGCCTACTCATTAATTGGCCGGCCTGCCAATTGTTTTTGGCCCCGCTGCTCACTAAATGGTCAAGCTAAAAAAAGGGTTTTGATCCAAATGGGGTGGAAGGCTTGGGTTTGAAGCTCATAATCGAATTCTATGAAATGGGTGACGCCTGTGGATGTGGTTGTTTTGTGTGTTTTGTTTTGTTTTTTTTTTTTTGTTTTGTTTTTTTTTTTGGTGTAAAATGCTGATCGGGGTTGATCCCTGAGATGAATAAAAGAAGGTAAGGTTTGGTGTGCAAATCTTTATCACACGGATTCGTAACAAAACAGTAATGGTGTTTGGAATTTTTTTTTTTTTTTTATGAATAATAATAATAATAATAATAAGAATAATAATAATAATAATAATATAAAGATAGGTGATAAAGAAAAGAATAGTGGTGGATATGATGAAAGGGGATCTGGTGGATGTTTTTGGGATAATATTTTATAATAGTATTGGAAGCTGTGTGGTGTTGTGTTTGGTGTAAATGGATGAAAAGAAAAAATAATAAAAGAAGAAAAGTAAAATGGGTCTGTGCAAAACTCTTCTCTCCTTTCAAGATGGGAAAGTTCAAGCTCTCTCACAGGGTGGTGCTGGCACCAATGACTAGATGCAGAGCACTGAATGAGATTCCAGGGGAAGCCCTAGTTAAGTATTACGTTCAGAGATCAACAGCCGGTGGATTTCTCATCACTGAAGGCACTTTGATCTCTCCCACAGACATAAGATGAGATGAGACAATTCTCCATTTGAGGCCTGCCTTAGCCCTAGTCAGACCACCAATCAGGTCCACCGGGCTTTTTCACAAGGATCTGATTGTATTCCGGTCTAGCTGTCAGATCCTTGAAGATGATAAAAGCTACAAGGAAGAAGAGAACGAAGAGGATCTCGAACTCGGCGAATCGAACGAAGGCGAAAACTGAGTTGACCGACCGAGTCAAGAACGATTCTTTCCTTTTTTCGATTTCCAGCTTGTTTGGGCATCTTTGCTTCCACCTGCAACTACGTATGTTGTCTTTCACCAACAATTTCAAAGATTCAGATTCAAACTACAACGACCGACAACAGAGAGAGGTTGCCGCTGTTTGGTTGGAGAGAAAGTTGCTTTCCACTGAGCCGACTGAGTAATGCCGCGAATCGCCAGATCTAACCTGGTCTGGAGCGATTTCACACGGGCTGAGTCACGCTCGAGTCGAGCTAAGGTCAGTAACTTGTAATCCTTGTGCTGAGCTCTGTAGTTTTCTGGATCGAAGCTGAGACATCAAGGAGTGTAGCTCTGGAATCCACTGGCAAGCTTCGGGAGAGAATGAGAGTGAAACAGAGTGCGGAGAAAAGAGGAAGCTTCAAGGAAGAAAATTGGTGGCGATAGGTTGACTGGGTGAGTCGAGGACAGCAACTCGAAGGAGTTGGGCGTGAAGGTGGTGGACTAGAAGAAATTTCAAGGTATGTGTAGGAAATTTTTTGCGGACTAGGTTGAGGTCCGGCGGGCGGCCAAGGCGAGGTTGCCGCCCGCCGGTGAAGTGAAAAATATTAAGTTCTTAACCTTGCTCTGATACCATGTAAAAATATATTGATAGAGAGAGAATAAATTGTATGTATTATTGATTGATGTATTTAATGGTGTGTTGAGCTCTCTCCTTTATAGAGGAGAGGGAGAACAATTACAAACCGAAAGTAGAAGCACAAACCAAACAACAGTATTAAAGGTACATTATTAAAGCATACTAATTATTATACTAACCTAATTATTAAAGCAACATTTTACATATTATATTCTAACATGCATCTTGAGCAGATGGATGTGAAGACGGCTTTTTTCCATGGTGATTTGGATGAGGAAATTTACATGAAACAACCATAAGGTTTCTTGGCACATGGCAAAGAGGAGCTTGTATGGAAGCTTCAAAAAAGCTTGTATGATTTGAAGCAGGCCCCATAGTGGTACAAAAAGTTTGATGGGTTTATGTATAGCAGTGGTTTTCCAAGATGTCAAGCAAATCATTGTTGTTATTTCAAGAGGTTTGACAAAGGTTATATTTAAGCTGCTTATTTCAGCTTTTAGCTTAATTTAAGCTAAAATATTGTGTTTAATGCAGCTTAAGTTAACCAGCTTATAGCTTAAATCAAGCTATTTCTCAGCTTATCTCAAAAGCTAGTCAGGGATGCTTAAATTTTTTACTTAAGCGCACAACTGGTGTGGGGGGTTAAAATTACTTAAATGCCCTAGTCAATACCCAAATATTAGTATTAATTAATATTAATATTAATTAAAAAATAAAAAATTGTATATTTCTAAAGAAAAAGAAAAAAAATCAATATTAATTGAAAAATCAATATTAATTGGTATTAATTATTAATAAATTCATATTGTATATTTGTATATTAATTAAAAAATAAAAAATTGTATATTTCTAAAGAAAAATTAATAAATTAATATTGTATACTTTTGTAATGAATTAATTATTAATTGATACTAATTAATAACAATTGTTGATTATTAATATTAATTGATACTAATAAAAATTGAATATTAATATTAATTTATACTAATTAATAATTTTAGTATTAATTGAGACTAATTAAGCCATTAATTGATACTAATTAATAATTTTAGTATTAATTGATACTAATTAAGCAATTAATTGATACTAATTAATTTATAATGGAAAATAATTGTGACAATAATACTTCCATTACATTTTTAGCAAATGTATCAATTTTTATATTAATTGATACTAATTAATACTAATTATATTAACTTTTATTAATGAAATATTTTTTTTTAAATTAAAACTGAAAAAAATGACAAAATAATCATTTTTATATCATATAAGAGCAGAAAAGACAATTATACAGTAAAAAGTTATTTTACAGCTTATTAACCAAACACTACTCTGCTGCTTAAATCCATAATCCCACAGCTACACCAAACAGGTTAACAGCTTATGTTCACAGCTATAAGCCATAATCTGTTAAGTTATAATCTATAATCACTTTTCCACAGCTCTACCCAACGGGGCCATTATTTTACTCTTATATGTTGATGATATGCTTATCACAGGATCTAGCATTGAAGAAATAAAAAGATTAAAAAAAATTTTGTCCAACCAATTTGTAATGAAGGATCTTGGAGCTGCAAACAAAATACTTGGTGTGAGGATTCACAGGGATAAAGGTAATGGTACTTTGAACTTGTCACAAGCTGAGTAGGTCAAGAAGGTTCTCGAGAGGTTTAGCATGAATGGTGCAAAACCAATGAGCACTCCATTGGTTAGCCACTTCAGACTTACCAAAGAGCAGTCACCAAAGACTGAAGAAGAACAAGTTTACATGAAACGTGTTCCATATGTTTCAGCTATCGGTAGCCTAATGTATGCAATGGTTTGTACAAGGCCAAAAACAGCACATTCAGTGGGAGTTGTTAG